AGTTACTGTTTTAATACAGCCTTGTCGCTCGAGTCGCCGTAGAAGATCAGTAAGAGACTTCTTTAGGGAATCCTTAGTTGGGATCGGTCGATATCGCCAAGTAGAGGTGTTACGAAGTGTTGGCCGATGCCAATCCTGTTCTGGGATAATGACAGGTAATGCCTGTAGCACCTGTTCTTTAAGGTCGAGCGCTCTTATCCCCGGGATCCCTAAAATGTTGATGCCCCCTAGGACAGCCTCTAGAGGATATCGGTGGTCCTTAACCCAAAACTTGACCTTCGTTGTGACGGCGATAGCGTTAAGCCCTTGTACCTTGATCGTCTTGGTGGTCTTTTGATGAGGCAACGCTGATGTAATTACGTTGGTTTGGGCTCCAGTATCCAGAAGGAAAAATACTCGTTGCTGATCATCTAAGTCAGTAGGGTTGTAGACAGTGAGTTCAGTGTATGGTCGAGAGTCAGTAGGATCAGGTCTAAATTGAGGGAGGGCGCCGGCGGAGCCGACGGCCATTACTGGTGTTTTGGCGGGTCCTTGAAATTAAATCCCAATGCTTCGGCCATACTAGTCTGGGCCTTGTCTCCCAAAAGTCGCAACTGAAACTTTGTGAGTCCGGAATGAGCAAGAAGAAATCCAAACATATTTCTCTCCTTTTGAGTTCTTTCCTTTGCAGTGGTCCCTAGTTATGGGTATTGGTGATTGGTTATTGTGGCAGATGTTGGATCCAGTGGGAGAAGCTTGCATATCATTTGCTTTATGTGAGGAGGCCATTACACATCAGCAACTGCACAGATATTGGCAGAAGAGAAACCCATGTCCAGTAGCAAGAGATGGAAGATGACGAGTTACTTTTCCACTGCAGCCTTAATATGCCTTCACAGCCATTGAGAAGTATGCCTTTTCCATCTGCCTGTTCCACTGCTGAAGTCTTTATATGATATTGCGTTGGACTGTTCTTTGCCTGATACCTCACCTTTGACATTACCTCCGTGGGTCACCCTACAACAAGTGCAAGACTCATAACGGTGTTGCTCTCAGGGTCATCGGTGTACACGCAGGCCTGTCTACCCTGTCAAGGTGGCAGTCCTTAAAAAGTCTCCAGCTGTGGGGTCTGGGATGTACATATGCTCTTGTTCCCAGGCTATATTTCCATTTTTCTTCTCTAAGATTCATACCAGTAGAAATGAGCAGTAGAAATGAGCATCTGTACATGGCCCCAGACTGCTATATTGTACTGGTAACCAGAAGGTGATAGTGTAACATTGTATGTGCTGTGGTCACATATTATCCATGTCTCTAATGGATCTCTTTTTATATTCCTTTCAGTTTTCTTTCCCCCTAAGATAAAAATTATACAAATGTAAGAATGAGGACATTTCATATTTTTAACGTAACTTGAGTGTGTTATTTAACCAGAGAAGGGATATGTAATCCCTTTATCTAAACTGTATGCATTCTTAAGCCGTACTGATTTTTTTAAAAGATGGATGTTAAGAGAACTTATAAGGTTACATTATTAAACTACTAAAACCCAGGAAATGCTATGATTAAGCTTGAACATTTGTCATATAAACTTAATTGTGCCTCCTTGTTTTCTGTATAGTTTTGTTTTATGATCACAATATTATTCCTGCAGTACTGTATGCTCACTTAGTACAGAGTGGACAGCTTGTAGTAAATGAAGCAGTGTTAAAACCTACTTCTTAAATTCTTGTAATGTTCTCTTTTTGATTGCATGTCTGTCTCATGCATATCAATCAAACTTCTGTTGACTTCAATGACCTTTTGAATATGCTTTCATTTTTATATCTGCTGCATCTCTCTGCTTTGTGTTGCACCTAGTATAAATTGGGTCTACTGATTTTTGTTTTACTGGATTTGTTGCAGATGTACATTGTTTGTAATTAAAACAAAGTCTCAGAGTGAGGAGGACTTCTCTCACTAGAGGTCATTAGATATCCCCAACATTCATTTGCTGCCCACTTTCCAACCTGAATGTACCCGGAATCCTATGGAGAGAATTCCACCCGTCTCTGTAATTTTAAAGGGTATTTAATGTATATGCATAATGCTAAACAGGTAGACAGACCTTTAACTTCTCTTAGTCTTTTGTATGCATTTCAAAAAAATTGTCCTTCACTGAGCCTTGAGAGAGAGATGGCGTGAAGCATTCCCACTTCAGATGCCTAGTGGAAGCTTGAGTCACCAAAATCTACACAAACTCAAATGCAAATTGGCCTGCTTCTTTTAGAAAGTTGTTTATTGTACAAGATTGTCATTATTTAAAGTTTCTTATGTGTGGCTGAAGTGTATACACTCCGACAATGAAAGTTGCCTAAGGACTTTCAGATGTGTTTTCTTTTCCAATGAACTGAAACTATAGAGGGTTTAACAACATAAGTGTTATAAAAAGGAGAAGTGGGCATTTCTTGTTTCATTGTTCTTACAAGCTATGGTGTAGTTTAGGTAACTGGGGAGAAAAAATCTCTGAGCCAGAAACCAGATGTGTAAAATTTAACCCAGAAGGCAAAAGTTTCAGGAAACTTATGTAAGTGCCTGACAAAAAGAACTTCAGAATGGGAATGCTGAGGCAACCTTTAACTCTAATTTTTTGGTTTTTAGGTGAAAGATTTTTTCCACCACCATCTGGTTTGAGCTATTCAACGTGGTTTTGCATTGAACACTTTAGTACGGCTCCTAATAACCATCCAGTCAGATTACTTACTATAGTGCGACGAGCAAACTCTTCTGAGCAGCACTACGTATGCCTTGCCATTGTCCTTTCAGCAAAAGACCGATCACTAATTGTTTCAACTAAAGAAGAGTTGCTTCAGAATTATGGTAAGTATTGTGCTCTATCCTTTCATGTTGCTGTGACAGCATTATGAAGGTACTGCAGATCTTCATGATTAAGATTATGTCAAGAAATTGCTGGAACTTTCACTGAAACATCTCTGTCTGGCCCCAGGTAATTTTATAAGAAAGGAAACTGAATACTGGGAAGCACTTTGTATAGGGAGGAGAAGTTAGGATATAAAGTGAATGATTGTGTTTAAATAAAAAATATAAAGACAAGCACACTCATTCATATGTAAAATATCATGTTTTAAACAGAGTGGGTAAATGTTTGTAAATATCTCTAATCATCAGATATTTCGGGAAATATTTCAAGCAGTCTATTTGTTTACTTTATAATATACCTTCCTTTGATATCAACTTTGTTTTCATAAATATAATAGTTCCTTGCAGAGGGTCAGAAATAAAAATAAAGAACTTACTAGTCATAACATTTCTTCAGATCTCTTAAATGAAATGAGACTGAATTTTTCCTATATAAGGAAGATTACATTTATAAATATATTGTCACTAATTGCTTTTGATTGTAGCTGAGGTAGAAGTTGAATATTATTAGCTAGCAAGCCTATATTTTGAACTCTGTAAGAGGGGCTGTACTTGAAGAGGCATTGTGAGAAAAGATCAGAGACTTTCTGACAGACTCTGAGAGAAACTGTTTTTGAACAGTGTTCGGAAACTCAGCCGTTAGTAAAGTACCACTCTATGAGTTGGATGGCTGAATAATTTCTGTTGTTTTTATTGTAAGGTATTAAGTGGATTAGTACCTGTAGAACTAAGAAAAAGCCCACAGGGTTTCCAGGTTTCAAAGTGGTGAAAATCTCTGGCTAAATGTAACTGTTTATTTGACTACAATTATTTTATTATAAAAAGAAGACTAAGGTGCTTGGCGGGTATAGAAAAGGATTATTTTTTATTTTTAAGTTGGTGCTTGTTCTGGTTTTGTCCTTTTTCTCCTTCTAGTTTGCATGGAAATCTGACTTTTCGCAAGATGCCCTTATCGATGTGAGAAATCAATAAATATGACAATGTGATTGGGTCTTGAAAATTGCTTGTACCTTCCCAAATTAAATTAAAAATGCTTGTTGCAAAAATGTGCACTGTTTCAATTAAAACATATTACATGTTTAGAAAGTGAAGTAGCAGCTTTGAGTGAAGAGTTGAGAATACCTAAGGAATAGAGGTGGCTTTGGAAGGGGAGTCAGCACCTTCTGAGTTCTGTGCCTTGTGAAGGCATTACAACATAGTATTGACTTTGGCAAATATTACGGCTCATTTCTCATCTTAGTGGCAACATCTGGGAGAGACTTGGATTTTCGTATTGAATACAGGGAGACAAGAATAAAACTCTGAATCAACTTACAAATATGAAATAATCTACTCTTGACTTCCTTCTCATTAGCCAAATATCTTAGTCTGCAATTTCATATTTTAAAAAAGATCCTCTGTTTTTATCTAGCCTTAAGTTCTCTGACCCTCCAGGTATGAAATTAGGGATAATCATTTTTACCTATTCGACACAAATATTTTGAAGGTGATTACATCTATTGTGTGGTGTTTTAATGTCATTTTAAATGTTTTTAAGTATGCAAGTTACTTAAACGTTGGTGTTTTCATATATATTTGATTAAATATTCTTAAAACATTTCAGATTTTCTGAAAATGTCCAGATTGAGACAAAAATATTCAGAAATTAAAAAAATTCCTTGTGGTTCTTTACCTAGTCACTTTTGTTTTATATTATTTGCTTCCTTTCCCTCATGAGAGATCAATGATGTGATTATTTCAAGATATGGTAAAATATATGTTAACTTGAAACACCACAAAGTATGTGAAAGAAGCAAATAACAGTGTCAAAATTACCCATTACCCCATGGAAACTACCTTGTGTTCCATCTGTCACCATGCTTGATGATGATTAACAAATCCATTACCTATTAGATGGTGGATAGGAGTCATTTGTGATAGAATTAACTGATAATTACATGGGATGGGATTTCCAAAAGTGTTGACTTCATTCTGTTTCCTCTGAGGGCAGAGGTAAGAACCGTTGACTTCACTGGAAGCAGAATCAGGCAAATGAGTGACTTGTACAGAAAAAACGGAGTTTTGACAGCATCACTATTTTGTCATTTAAATTTGGCAATGAGAGGAAAGAAAAATATTTATGTAGAAAGGCAATGAGAGAGTGTTACATGGATAAATATTTCCATAAAAAGCTTAAAACAACAAACCCTTTTTGGAGATGAAACCAGATATTTTAAAAAGCTGTAAATAAATTTATTTTAATTTATCCAAATTTCACATCATTTTAAAATGCGGGGAAAATGAAGGGACATAGAACCACAAAATGTGGCCATTCTCCTGAGGATGTTCTTAGGGAAACAGGAAAAATAAGTGGAGACCTATTGCCGAGACTTCGGTTCAATTCAATTCAGTTTATTATTAAGGATTCTGGCTAAATGCCATTCTCCCAAAGACGACTGTAACAGGTCGCCCTTCCCAGCGCCATCTTGCTAGTACTCCGCGCCTTGCGTGGGGCACCCTTGGATCCTGTTTTAGGGTTCTTGTGTCCCGCCCTGTACTCGCCTGCCACGTCTTGATGGAAATTATGATGATGACCTTGTGAGCGGGAGGCTGCCTATTGTACTGCCCTGGTGCCAGGGGTTGCTATCTGTGGCTCCGCTTCCTCCCCTACACCGCAGTCCATGCCTCACCGATGGAATAGACGTTGTCCGGTCTGGGTCTACACCCTCTCTGGCGCTTGGGCTCTCCGCGGCCCTGTCTCTCTCCGCGCCTTCTCTCTGACACTTCTCAAAGCACTGCCCTCCTCTGGGGCCTTCTCAGTAAAGCCGCTCTCTCTCAGGGCTCTCCTACAATGCCACCCTCTCTCGGGGCTCACCACGCCCACACTGGGGCTTCTCAGCAATGTCCCCTCTCTGGGGCTTCTCAACTGCCCCTCTCTGGGGCTGGGGTCTGTGCACCCCTCATGCTGTGCCCTTGCTGGCACTGGGGTTCCCACACTACTGTGAGTCCCCTATGAGGCCTCCTCCAACCCCTAATAGCCTCACCCAAACCACTGGTAACAAACAGTAACACAAACACAAGCCCATAGGCTATAACATAAACAGAAGCCGCCCGGCTATAATCACGCACAAGCCTACCGGAGATTCTTCATCCCACAGCAGTGCCAGACGTTGCTCCCTCATCAGGCTTCTCTTCTCTTCCACAGTAGAGAGCTCCTTCCTCCTGGGCTGCTGGCAGGGAACCCCCCCTGGCCTCAGCCCCAAGGGTTTATAAGGGAGGCAGGCCCTGCCCTTTTCAGTCAGCTGATCGCCGGCAGGTGCGATCTCTTGCTGGCTCCAGTTGCCCTGGCAACCCACAGCTGGACTCCTTACTCACTGCTAGGGCTCTTTCCCCAGCAGTCTCCCCTCTTTAGGAGCAGAGCACCTCCGTGCTCTGCGACAACGACACATACACCCATAATGTAAGTTTGAACAAGGTAACCAAACTAAAAATAGAGCCCACCAACATAAAAACATTATTAATGTAAATATAGTAGTAAGTCAAGACATGAATCTATAATATTGTTGTACATAGATCCACAACTGAGACATTAAAATCAAGTCTAATGTTAAAATGTATCACTCTTATCAGTAATAAAGGATAATTAACTCTAATCACCTTCACCTTGTAAGCGAAAATTGTGAGACGATTTACTACATTTGGATCTGTTTGCTGTAAAAGCCAGATTAATTTCTCTCTGAGAAATGTATCAATTTCTGCAAGTACGGTAATAAATAGGTTCTCCTTATGTAATTATACAAAGAACGTTCTAACACATAGTGGATAGTATCTTCTAAAACTCCTAGATAGACTGGGCAACATCTTTTAGCTCTTGGAATGAAAAATCTACTTCCAGCCAGAGCACCTGTGGGCATCTGTTCGATCCTGAGTCTAGTCAAAGAGAACTGCCATTTATTATTGAGATCCAACTGTAAATACCTTTTTAACCCCCAATCTAGTTTCCAAAGAGATTCCAAGTAGCCCTAGCCACTGCAAAATCATTTTGCCTGGTAATATCTCATATCCTCTGGAAAATCTGAACCATTTCTATGGGGAAGAAAGACCTTTCATTATCTTTGAGATAGATAGTATCCCATCCCAGAAAGTGCAAAAGTGCAGGGGAAAAAAAAGCTAACCAGGGTGACTGGAGAGGAGGGGGATTATTATTAGTATCTTCTATGTAGCATAATTTAAGCAGACGAGATAGTAAACGGGGAAGCAAAATCCTGCCATTCTAATAATAATATTAGTTCAAATAGAATCCATTCCCATCTCTAATTTCAGAAAAGATGCAGGAGTTGAGGGAGGAAGAGCCAAAAGAGCCCTAAGAAACTTGTTCTAAGATATGTCTACATCATTACTAGCAGCATAACCCCATACTTCAGCGCCATATAAGATCTGAGAGGTAACTTTGGCTTTGTATGCTGATATAGGAGCTTGGACTGATCATCCTGCTGTGGTTTCATACAATTTCTTTATAGCCACAGTCAATTGGGCTGCCTTAGTTTTAACTGACTAAACATGATGTTTCCATGATGGAGAAGCTGTGAATAACGCACCCAAATATCTATAGGTTTTGACAACTTCAAGTTTGGTTCCCCCCATATTCCATGGATATATCATCAAACGACTTCCCCAATGCATTATTTTGGATTAATCATAATTTATCTTTAAGTTATTTTGTCCACAAAAATGCTCAAACGTTGTAATTGCTCTCTGTAATCCAGTAGGAGTTCTTGACAGTATAACAGAGTCATCTGCATACATTAAAATAGGAATTGGGGTTGCTGATAATTTTGGGGATTGCCGAGACTCATATTGCTCTACCAGTTTTTCTTTTTGCACTTGTACAAAAAATTGTGGACCATCAAATTTTAAAAATATTTTCAATATCAGTACCATTTTAATTCTACTATCATTGTTAATTACAGTTGAAAGTGTTAATAGAAAAATATTTGTTAACTTACATTACTGTTTACTGTGTTCTGTTTGCCTTGAAATGCATTTGCTTTCTGAAATTTCAAACTTTAATCTATCAGTGCAGGCTATTTTAAATATCAGGCCTGAGGAAACGGAAATATTTAAATCAGTGTATGAGTGCCACTAGTTCTAATGAACTGTTCCTTTTCTTGTAGTTGATGACTTCAGTGAAGAATCATCTTTCTATGAGATTCTTCCTTGTTGTGCTCGTTTTCGCTGTGGTGATCTTATAGTGGAAGGCCAGTGGCATCATCTGGTTCTGGTGATGAGTAAAGGCATGCTGAAAAATAGTACCGCTGCACTCTACATTGATGGACAGCTCGTTAATACTGTGAAGGTGGAGTAAAAACTTTAATATTAAACTTGTATTGTTTCAAAAAGTTAATTTGCTTTGCAACATATTTGTGTTGGTTACTTGTTGTCAGGCTGCTGTACATCATGATCGTGTATTATCAGTTGTTTTGAAGATGAGAGGGCCTGAGCTTTTTCTATATTGTTCTTGGTTTCTTGCTTTATTTGTTATGCACATTCAAAGTGAGGCAAGGACTCCATTCACTTCTCAGCTCTGAGTCTGTCCTGGTTTTGTTTTTTGTTTTACAGAAAAGAGTAGCAAATAATATCAGGTCTTAAGCAAAATGGATCAGTACTTGGGAAAGGAAGAGATTGTATCTAGTGTACCTGTATCACTGGAGATGGAGCAGTATTTTATTTCTTAATACTTGTCTGGTATTTGGTATTAATCCAGCAAAATAAGGAATATGCTAGTTTTGGTCATAAAATACTACCTTTTCTCTACTGGCTAAAAAGTATACTTTTACTGGTATAAAAGTAACTGTGTGAACATTGAAGTGAAGGAAAGCAAAATACTACTTTACGTGAAACTTAGAAGTAGTAACAATTGTGAAAAGCTCCATCTACCTTACTAGAAAAGGTAAATGTGTAAAGCTTAGAAGCACCATGACACAGTTATCTAAAAATGTTTTTACTGATGTCATGTGGAACTTTAAGGCCTTTATGTGAGACTGGTTACGTATCTACTGCATGTTGTATCATTAAATACAAAGCATGGGCAGTAGCATTCCTGGAAAGGATCTGGGGGTTTTGGAGGATCACAGACTCGACATGAATTAGCAGTGTGACGCACTTGAAAAAAGCAAATGTAATTTTGGGCTGCATCAGCAG